CCCATTGTGTTCTGCCCAAAAATCATCTTAGAGGGTCAGTCTATAGGTGCCATAGACCACCTTGAGCTTGTAGAAGTATCCGATGTTCTTGGAAATAAATTGAGATAAAGAACGTATTCAACATGGGAGGATGTTTTTGAGTAAATGGTGGGATCCCAGTTGCTGCAAATACCTGGAATTCCCCTATGACAGAAGTGCTTCTCAGGCACATGGCCTACTCCCTCAAGTCTGGCGGGCTTGGGGGAGAGGGGGATATTTGGGCTTGGAATCAACGATTCCAAGGATATTTGGAGAGGATATATCGACATAGTTGAGGATGAAATTCCTCATTGTGGGGTCACGCAATCCCCAAATGTTCCAGAGGAGTATCTTCATGTTGGGGAGGGGGAACAAGACAGGGGGTGATGCCTCAGTGAGCATTTGTGTGATAGCTCCTCAAAGGTTGATGGTTTATAGGTGGGAAGAGCCTAGTTAGACGATTGGGGCATCTCATAGTTGATGTTGCTTGATAAGTTCCTCATCTCTTGATGCAAATTCAAATAAACAAAGAACCCAAAATAACTGTTAATTAGATTGAAAAAAATCTAAGGAGAACGATGCAGTCCGGCTATGTGCAACAAACTTCAGGGCCAACATTCAGGCCTTCAAAGTAATTTTCTCGCCTAGTTCGCTGAGTGAAATCTGCTATGCGGCACTTGCTTTGCGACTTCTCTAGAATTTTCAAATAATTATGTTCTTAAACAATAAACAACTATGAAAAGAAATGCGAAATATACCCCCTATTTATATACTTTCTTTGGATGCCCTAACTCTAATCTTAATGTAACTAGACTTTCTAATTAAAACCGGAAACGGATTTGATACTTTTGCACTTGGGAAAATTTGGAAAGATGAAGTCATCTTAGAAAATCCTCGACTTCGCATGGGCATAACTTTCTTCTCAGGTGTCAAAATCGCTATGATGATTTTATTTTGGAAATGGTATTGTAAGTTATATAATGTCTGAAATCCATTTTGCATGTTTTGCTTGGCAAACTGGGAACGGCTTTGAAGGCCTGGACTTCACCTGAATTTTTCTATTCATGACTGGATTGCATCAGTATCCCCTGGTTTGGGAGAGCTTTCCCTGGAGTTTTGATCGTCTTTGGACTTCTTCAATGCTTTTGCTGCAATCTTATCGAGCTCTTCTGAAATCCATGAATGCTCTGACTTAGGTTTGCCTCTCTATTGGACCAAATTCTAGCTGTAGATTTACCTAAAAAAAATAAATAAATATTAGCTATAGGAACCACAATGCATAATTATCGTCCTAATCTAATGAACCTTTGGATCTGATCAACAACTTGCTTAGGAATTTGTGTCTTCCATTCAGCAGCCTCTGGATCAACAGGCTCTCCATGATACTGATATAGATCAAAGATGTTAAATAGAGGAGATGCCTTGTATCTCCCTGGAAGCTCAATCTTGTATGCATTATTGCCAATTTTTTGAAGCGCATGGCACATGCCAATCTTCTTATATTTGAGCTTAAGATAGGTTCCACCAGTTAATCATTCTCACTTTAAGATCATCAAATTATCCTCATTTCTCACTTTAAGATCATCAAATCACCCTCATTTAACTCTGTCTGATGTCAGCATTTATCAGCATCTGCCCTATATTTTCATAATTTTCTTGAAGCTTTTTTCGTACCTGCCGATGAACATCATGAAGGTGCGCAGCTTGGGCTTTAGCATCATCGTTTGCTCGTTCCTTCTCAGGCAGTGGTATTGAATCTAGCCCTTACTTGGATGTGGTCCATACACTATCTCAAATATAGGCAGATTCAGCACACCATCTCTTTTGTCACCATTCTGCCACAATTTCCAATGTCCATGAGTTCACCTTGCCCTGGGTTGTACATCTCATGTGGGAAATATTGGTTCGAAGCTACGACTCTTCTCTCAAATTAGGGGCTGATAATAACTGTCTAATAACAAAAATTCTCTTTCTTCATGATACAAATCAGCTGCGCCACCTTTATGTTCTTCATCTGGCTCCTCATCATAAAAAGGTCCTGAGTTAATGTCTCTTTGTAGTTTTCAACCTGTCATATAGATGTGTCCTAGGCTGCCTTTTAGGTCACTCAAAAGATCAATTCCTGGCTTGCGACGCTTAAAAACATTTAGGCCCGCTGTTCATGGATTTGAAGAGGCTTGTTTGCTGCTAGGATTTTTCCTGCTTTAGATGCATCACCAGGCTCAGAACTGCCGTTTTTTGAAACAAAAATGATGTTCCTTGATAGGAGGTGTGATTTACAGAGTCCCTCTTCAACTTTGTTTCAACTTTTAGGGCCAGCTAATAGCTTTCATCCAGGCTAAAAATTCTAGGTAAAATTAAGTCATCTGAATTTGAATTTATATACCTCGCAACAAAGCTGATCATCAGGCTTATTAATCTTGTTTCGACTCATCAATGTATAGAAGTTGTCTATTTATTCTTGCATGGTCGACTCCTTTTGATGGAGATGATGAAATCTCTTGGATAGTTCTTGTTCGATGAGAGGGAACATTTTCTCCTTTAAGCACAATTTCATCTTCCTTTAAATTGCAATTTCATCTTTTCCGTTTCATACTTGGCTTGCCTGCAATTGCTGTCACCACATAAGGGCATGACCCTTTCAATTGAGTAGCCACAAATTTTGCCTTCTCTTTGGATAATTCTTTCCATTCGAAGGTCTCATGCTATCCAAGAAGTCCCTGGATAAATGTCCTTGATAGGAACATTGACCTGAATTCCGTTGATAATTAGTTGTGGCGTTCCAAGTGGTGGGGAGTGTGATCCCACAACGTAGGAATCTCGATTCCTGATATGTGCATTGTATGGATGTTGCTTCCTTCCATATGAAGCTTCTAGCCTGTCATAATTCCCCTCTTCTGATATTTAAAACACTCCCAAAATGCTCTCACATCCAACAACTGTGCCGTAAACATTGCCTAGTTCTAAAAACATCCTAATGCCAAGCATGAAATGGGATCCCTCGAGCTTTGATCCCGAGTGTGCCTGGATTTCTAATCACCAATAGTTGGGACTGGGGTCTAAAGGGAGAACTTAGTCCCTTTTAACTTAGCCTTTTCTTGTTGCATGGCTTTGTGAGTAGTGTACGAAGAGAAGATGAACAGGAAGTTCTCTCTCTCAATAGCTCAGTACTGAATCTGGTTTGATTTCCATGGTTTTGCAACCAGTCTAAAATGTCCTTGAGGTCTCCTCTCTGTGGGGTCAAGCTACCTATCAAAAATGACATCAAAGAAGAGGATCTTTCCACAGTTATCTTGTTTCCTACTCAAATCAAGTATGAGCTGTTGGAATGAATAATCCAAAGTCCTGCCATTGGAATAAATGGATGTGGACTCCTTTCTTGCTCTAAGAAATTTTCTGGTCAAGTTCCTGCAAGTTTCTTGTACTGCTGGCATGGGGTGGCGTTGTAGAATGTGTAATGGGGGTTGGTTGAAGGCTTTGTGCCAAGGATCATGGTTCTGCAACTATTGTAGGAGTGAGTATTGGTGCTCTCGTTGAATCAGTGCTTAGTGAAAAATCTCCTGGTTAGAGTTCTGTACTGCAGTGAGAATTAAAGCTCTAGCTGAACCAATGTTTCAATTGGAGATTCAACATTAATTGCTGATGCGATATAGAAAAATTTCAGATGTCATGGAAATATTGTTTATGCGTTCTCTGGCATACAGTTAGTAATTTCTGCTACTGAATTACTCATGTTTACCCCGATAACAATATGGCAGCTAATTTATGACAGGAGCAGCAAACTGTTTTGTGAGGTAGAAGACGTTTTGCCCAGCCCTTTTGTACAATCAAACTACCTGGGGATTAGTTGTATCTGCTGCAGCATGTATGGATTATTATGCATGGTCACACATATAGATGTAAACAAATGTGCAAAAATCACGTATCAAATATGTAACAGATTCTTGTATCTTCATATACATAACTACACATATACATGCATGTTGCATATCAAATCCTCTGCATACTGATTCCTGAGATTCCATTAGACGAAGAAGTCTCATTTAATTGAAATATCAGAATGCTTACGCAGTGGAATAATAGTTGTTGCAGTATTTTAAGTTTCTTAGATTTTATTTCTACTCTCTTAAGGAGCCGAGCTTCAGATTTATACATAAGGAAAGCCATGTGCAGTGAAATTTGTAAGTTCGGTTTGGGGAACGATCCTCTCTCTTATTGGAACAGTGAGATGGCTACTCCACTAGTTTTAGTTCATCTTTGGTAACCCATTTCTAGGGGTGGAAACCTCCCAGGGCTTGGGCTGGGCCAGCACTGGTCCTAGCTCGGTGAGCCTGGCCATGCTTGGACTAGGCTAGAAAGGCCCTAGGGCTGTGTTGGGCCAAATACAATAAAAGTACAAAAATAAAAATAAAAAATAAAAAAGGAAAAGGGAAAAAGGGCTGGCCCGGCCCAATTGCTGACCTAGTCCAAGCCTGGCCTGGCCCAATTGCTGGCCTAGCCCTAGCCCAAGCCCGGCCCGCCCCTATTCTCGGGCCTAAGTGCCCCGGCCTTGGCATGACGCTTGTGCCACATTTTGTGGGCTGGGCCCTAGTCTTTTAGGGCCGGGCTGGACCAGGCCAACTGGCCCATTGCTGGTCCTACCTATTCCCATACAGAAATACAGCGAAAATGGTTTTTGTTTTTGTTGAATTGAAGAAACTCTAATTCATGTCTTTCACCTTGATAGCGTTGATCTTTGTATATGCATATTTTTTCATTGTTTCATTGACTGTCAGTTGTGATGATTTCAAACCAAATGTGTATCAACTTGGCTGCGGTATAAATTTTCCCTGTTCATTAAGGAATTCCTTTATTGGCTGCAGTATTTATGCACTTTGCGACTTTCACCTGCAGTGTTTAGTAATAGTAGTATACTGTAGGGCTGCTACTACGAGGATGTTGATTCGTCAATGTTTTGTTGCTTCTCTTGATGTTTTATACAGGGTTCAAATTATTTTGAGATAGACTTGGATATGCATAGGTTCAGTTATATTTCTCGGAAAGGGTTTGAAGCCTTTCAAGACAGACTGAAGCTGTGTGTGCTAGATATTGGCTTGACGATTCAGGTACAAACGAGTTCTAGTCTTCTTTTTTTATTTGGCAAGGATTGTCTATTGTTCCCTTCCTGTTATTTATATTTATTTGTTTGTAATTTTTTGTCGTCAGGGCAACAAAGCTGAGGAATTGCCGGAGCAGATACTGTGTTGCGTAAGGTTGAGCAAAATTGATTACACCCAATATGCTCAATTAGGAACAGTTAACCCCTGAAATTAGGGGTCCAAAAAAGGAAAAACCAAAGAGAAAGGTGGCAGAGATGTACGCCTGCTCCATCAATAATAAGAAATATCTTTGCTCTGCATCATTTATCTATCAAAATTTATTCGTCAAACAGAAGAAGCTCTTGTTAGTGTGCAATGTCCATCCAGATTAAAGGGTTTTTCTCGTAAAAGGCTCCAAGTTTCACATTTCATCTCTTTGCGTACAAACTGCCTGAGGCTTACTTCAAAAGGAAAATTTTTAGAATTTGAGATGATTATTTTTGAAAGGAAAATTTTTATATAAGGTTAAGGCCACTTCAAAAATTTACTAGAAAAAGTTATTTTGATAAAAAAAACCTTGAAATCCAATCATCTCGACCTTGAGATATATCGAGATAAAAAAAATCGAATTCAAAGCTTGGAAATAGTGCATCTTGTAATATAGTATCTATAACCTTAATTTTCAATATTTTCAAGTATTTATAGATATACTTGTTCTACATGATTTTTAAGCTTTAAATTTTATAATTAGAAATGAAAATGAATTTTCAGGCTATCATAAAGATTTGCGGATTAAAATGACATCTTTTGACACTATTTCAAAGTGTACCTTACTTTGATTATTTAGGGTCTCAGCCTTATACAAATCTCACCTTTTTAAAAAGCATAAAATTGGATTTTCCTATTATTTGTGGATTATGTTTACCGCATGTGTTCCCATAAAAGTGTGCTATACTCCTAAACAGCTTAAGTTTATGTGAGTTGAAAACTGGTCTTCAAATGATTGGAACGCACAAACACGAGAACTAGTCTATCACTTGAAAAAGAAAATATATATTAAGGAAAATTGTTTCACGTGGGTTGGACCACATTTCTACATATGCGATCCTGAAAGTATAAAGCATCCATCTTAAAGATGGATGCAAGTAAGTGTTCCATCCAAAAATAATGGAAACTAACAGTCCAAATGTTTTCTTACTAGAAATGTTCTTTGTAGTTTTTAAAATTTATTTATTTTTCATATTCATGATCTCTATGTTAAAGATTACATGTAAATATTACATGTTTTTAAAAATTAAGTCTAAAATCCATCTAAAGAATAGTTTTATTAAGAGTCCCATAATTCTACATATGTGGGCTTGGCCGTATAGAAACCGGATCCATATATTAATAACTCAGTTTGAAACTTCAAGTGATGAACTCATCTAGCACTCAAAAAATATACAAGTAGGTAAATTTGGAGCTTAAATTTCTGAATTGAGGGTATTTTAAAATAAAATATCAAAAAAGAGGTGCAGGGTAAAATATGAAAATATGACTTTTTAAAATAGCACAAATCATAATTTAAAAGAAATGAGTTATAAAAACAGTGGAAAAAACTATCAATGGATGGCTCCACGAGATGATAAACTTCTAGAAGTAATGGCTAGGTGTGTGAAAGACAAATTGATGTCGAATGAGTTATTTTGTAGGGAGGGTTGGGCAAGAATCACACGTGTGTTGTGTATACGTGTTGTGTAAGCAATATGACCTAGGATTCGATAGAATGAGAAGAAAGAACAGATTATGAGCTTTGAAGATTTCATATTCCCACATTAAAAGACTAGGGGAATCTATGTTCGGTTGGAATGAGAATGGAGTGATGATGATTGTGGATTGGCAATACGGGAGCAGTATTGTGAGATACAGACTATCTGTACTACTTTATATTAGAATTATTCTTTGTATAACCTGTGTCTGTTTGTTCATTTTGTATGGTTGTTTTACCATAGAGATACAGTTGAGCATCAAAATAGAAGAGCAAGAGCTTCTCTCATATGGCAAACATGTACATAGTGTTTGGGAACATGATAGGTGACGGAAATAGCAGTGCTTATGTAATGGATGGTGCTAACACGAAATATCAAACTGTGGGGAGCAGTGAGACCGAGCTAGATCATGCGGAATTGAATTGGATACCTCAAGATGTGAAAGAGGAGGCCATGACCATAGAGGAAATATCAGATGCCACTGGTGGGGGTGCTAGTGGGCACTCCTTAGGCAAAAGGAAGAGGAATCGTGGTCAGTCATCTACAATGGGGGTTTTAAGAGGCAAGAGGTTGTTTCAATAGGATAATAATTGGCTTTTGCACATGGGTTAGTGTCTACCTCAACGTATAGGACGTTCGATCATTATGTCCTATTCTAAACACGACGCTGAAGTTGTATTTTGTTTCCAAAGAGGAAGGTATTAATCTACAATTCCACATTAAGGTTGCTGACTTATTTTGTGGATGCTATGAAGGCCCGCGTATTGCTATCTATTGGTCCACAATATTGTAAGATGTGGTTGCAGACCCATGTCCCTCAGGATTAGTTCCATGTAGGTTGTTTATTTTGGATTTTTTTTAAAAACTATAGATCTTAAATCCCTATCATACTAAAGAGAAGACTTATTTTCTTGACTTTGTAGTTGTTTATTGGACTTCTTTTCTTTGAAGTTGTTTATGTGGATGAATAGTATTTTATGACGGTGTTTATGTGATGTGGATGATAAGAGAAGTGGAAATTTATGTGGACGTTTATGAGAACATTTATGTGTGGAATATACTTATATAACTTTATGTGATTGTGGATGATAGTAGATGTGGATATTTATGTGGGTTTTTTTATTTTTTATTTTTTATGGCTTGGATTCTTGAGGCATCATGGATAATATTAATGATGCTGTAACTTTATTTTTTCATGGTTTATGTATATTTGGAATGCAGGTTAGACTGTCAGTATGGATCCATCTGAGGTATATGATATGTATGTGAGATATTTTGTTGCATATATAACAACTTTGTGTTGTGTTTGTACTACTATATCTACTTGATATCAAAGAGTCTAGTTCACACATTTAATTTTACTGGTGCCTCATTTATTTCATATTTACTAGAATCCCATAAGAACAATTGATTTAATTTATTGCGAATGGACATGGATGCCTTTCTAGGCATGTGTGGAATTTTCAAGGAAGACGGTATTCTTCGTAATTTTCGGTATATAAATGGCAAAGAACAAGTTGCCATATTCCTAAATACAATCACAAAAAATGGGTGTAATAGGGTAGTGCAGATTCACTTTCAGTATTCTGGGTAAACTATTAGCTATTACTTCAATAAAGTCCTAAGTACAATATTGCGATTGGCTCTGTATTTTATCGTTCCTATTTCAACAAAAACACAGCTGTATCAAAAGAAAAAGAGATTCTTCCCAACTTTCAAGGTGAACATTGTATACATTTATCTTAGATATAATAAATAATGATGGTATTGTTACAATTGTTTACCTAGGAAATCCATGTTAGGATTGTGTTGGAGCATTGGATGGGACCCACATTCTTGCATGGATTCCAAAGCCACTACAAAAGCGATACCATAACTAGATTGGAGAGTTATCTCAAAATGTTTTAGCTACAGTTATCTTCGACATGTACTTCACATATGATTACAAGGGTGGGAAGGTTCTGTGGCATACTCTAGAACTCTACATAATGCTATTGAGAGGGACAAGCATCCCTTAATAGTACCTCGATGTAAAAAAATACTTGAGCTATTACTCGTTATAAGCTACGTTTGACAAAAAACAATAATATATTGGCCATTTGTGGTGTAAGAAAGTATTACCTTATGGATGCAGGGTACCTTATTATGCGTGGATTCATCACCCCATATCATGGTGCATAGTAACACTTTAGTGAGACCCAAGGAAGGAAATCTCTAAGAACATTGGAAGAGCTATTCAATTATCAGTAGTCGCCATTAAGAAATATCATGGAGCGAACCTTCAGGGTTTGGAAAACAAGGTTTCCCATCTTGAGGTCCGAATTTCAATATCCAATTGTGACACACGATAAAAATGTAAATGTCACTTATATTTTGCATAAAAATATCCAAATGAGGACAATCAAGAGGTCTGATCAAGTGAGAGCATTTCAATGCTGAGTTCTTAGATAGTGAGAAGAAATCTTGAGTTGTGCAAAAGAGATGTAGAAGAAGATAAATATGAAGGTGATGAACTTAAGGAGATGAATTCCCAAAGTAAGGCTGCCCATAATTTTGAGGTACAATTGAGGGAGCAAATAATGACATAAATGAGGTAAGGATATTGAAGACATCGAAATCATTAGTGTATTCATATATGCGCATGCCATAAGTTTGTCGTCTCTGTCTCTCTGTCTCTCTCTCTCTCTCTCTCTCACTTCCTCTCTGTTCAAGTGATAGCTTTCGTGTTATGATTTCAAAGGAGACAAACTTATCTTTTGTAATGCACTAATGTGATGGCCAAATGAAATGGTTAACTTTGAAACTTTTAAATATCTATTTATTAAGTAACTAGAATATGTTTGCTCTTGAAGGTTGCTAGTGCATTGAGTGAAAAATTTGATAGTAATGTAGACACCCCATTTTGAAAACTAGCAAATTCAATAGTTTCTAAACCATAAACAGTCTTAGGACTACACTATCTCAGTAAACCCCTGGACCATATGCCACCATAGTCTATACTGCCTGCCCTGTGATCTAGAATCCTGGATAACACCTTGTTTTAGTAAAAAAATTATTAAAAATATCAAAACACCTCGTTTTGACCTAAATTTTGGCAGGTAGTAGTATCACAAGAGCCTGTAGATCCTCTCAGAACTGGAATCTACTAATTTTTGGTAGGCAGCATACCGATAGTCCCAAAATCAGCCCAGACAAGAATCTGCTAATTCTAGGCAGATTTGGTCGAGGCAACACGCCACTGGTGTCACCCAGCCTAGACTGACCCAAATAGGCTAATTTTTAGCAAGCAGTATCCCAGCATCTCAAAAATCACCCTAGATTGGAATTTGTCAATTTTGAATAGATTTGGTCTGGGAGATACCACAGCTCCGACTGCCCCAAATTCGCAGTTTCTGCATGCCAACTCCTCTCAAATCATTTTTTGCCAAGTTCATTAAACTTGGACATTTTGGTATGGGCAACACCGGTAGTGTTGCCCATACCTTGGACCACCAAAACGGTAGTCCATGCTGGGAAATCTTCTGGTTATGGTTTGTAACCTATTCTAGATGATTTTTAGCTTATAAAAAGGCCATTTCAGGATCATTTTAGGTTAGACTCTTTA